GGTACGCCGGTCAAGCTGAAGATCTTCGACTACCCGGACGAGACGCTGGACAACTGCCAGTTTCTGGACGGCTGCTCAGACGGACGGACGGTTCTCGGTGTGTGGACAATCAAAGAAAGACCATGGACCCGTATCATGTGTCTGAACGTTACAGTGGACCGCACTTCGGTCAGCGAATCGTCGTACGGTCTGCACATGGCCCCCACCGATAATTACATCTACGTCATGGAACGCAATGCGGTCGACTTTTGTCGCGCGCAGATGAACACTGGTGTCACCTGCACCCTGCACATCACCATTCCGTCCAGAACCACAGGTGCGTCAAGTGTGAGTCCAGAATGCACTGAATGAATCAGCTAAGGATTCAGGGTTGCGGTCTTCACTCGCTTATCATTATCATCTCCATCATCATCGTCGTCTTATCATTATTATCATAGTTATCTTCATTATGCCGTTTCCATTTTCATTTGATCGTTGTCATAATCACCATTATGATTATCATCTTATTATGGCCATCGTCATCTTCATTGTTAACATAGTTATCATTATAGTGATCGTTTTCATCAGTGTCATTATACCGATTATCACAGTGAGCATAATCATCGTTGTCATCGCAATCACTACAGTTATCATTATCACTATCATCATTATCACTGTAATCATTACCACCAAATTATCCTTGGTTATTTCTTGTTTTATGGGTAGATGACGGGGTTTCACTCGTTTATATTATATTTCAATCTTTATTGTTGCTAACTGATTCAAAACAGCTTTATAAGCAAGAGCGCTAATTGTTTTATGTGATTTTGTTTAGTATTTTGACAATTTAAAGTCCAAATTTGTTCAGAAAGAAATTAAAACCAAATCAGTGGTGATGTTCCTTTCAGAAAACCAGCTATTTTCTGTTTTATGAGACAAATGTTACGCTTGCCGTTAATCTCAGGGGTTTATTACGACACAATTCGAAAAAAATTACCCGATTAACTCTCTTCGCTATGCTGAACGGAGAATGAAAACCGTTAACATCACGCGGGAGGAAAGATTCAGTATTTATTAATGCTGTGCAGGAGTTTGCATCGTTTTGCTTTCCGCCCAACGTATACAATGTATGGTAGCAAGACGCTTGTTACTTAATACCTATAGGAATCAAGAGACGGCGCGTTTAGGCGATTTAACATATGATTCGTAAGGATGCGAATTAAGTATGGCACCATTGATTCTTTGTACAGCTCGGTTCTTGTTTTCGGTATGATTAAGTTTTCTCATATAGCTGTACTCTGAGAATAGCACGCTGTTAAATCTGTGTGAAGCGGGTGGGTGGTATCTTTGCAATATCCGTTCGTTTAAGATTACGGAACTGCATGAATAGTTCGCACAATGATCTTATTCGGGAGACCTACTGCAATCTTGCTCATCTCGCGATTGCCGTAGTACATCCCCGCAGGTGCACAGAATCACTTCTCCCCTCTCGCCGCCGTAAATGTTCCAAAACAGACTGGATAAATTTAAGTGATAATTGGAATTATACACGATTTTGAAGCAGAAATGCTGAAAGGAGATACAGGTAGAAGAAAATGGTGTAAGAAAACGAGCGGAAAATGATCACCAAGTGAAACAAGGAGAAGAAGAAGAAATGAATGGAAAAGGCAAAGATGGAGTACAGGAAGTGTATGAGACATGGTGTGAAAGAGAGTCTGTGATGATGCAAAGGAAGCTGAAGCTAAGGAGAAAGACCAAGAATATGAAAAAAAGACGTACAGAAGAATTGGCAATTGAAAATGAAAATGGTTGATCGTCAAGGTCTATGCGCCATTAGCAAAAATCAGATTTGAATTTTTTCTCAGCGAGGTCATCAGGAATGAAGATAGGCAAAGAACGACAGTACATCTGTTAGTAGCGCAGAGTGTCAGATGAACATCCTTGCCAAAGGCGATGGAGCTTAACGGTCTTAAGAATGCTTGAACAAACCTTTAGAGTTGAGGAAGAATGGCTCCTGACAGCCATTCCTTACGCCTGGCCTCACTAATGAATAAACTATAACTGTTGCAATAGAAGAGGAAATATGAGAATCAGAGGAAACCCGAAGAAAACGAAGAATAAATGAAAAGTAGAATAGGTAATGCAAACTCAGCCCTTCAGCACCCAACAACGAATGAGAGATGATGAGTCTTCTTGACCATGGCACGTTCTCTAGTTAAGTATGGCTACCTGCCACTGATGATATTGCCGATATCGATTGTTATACCTGCTGGGTTGTCTCTGGAGGGCCGAGCAGGCTGTTGAGGATCTTTGGCAAACTGAGAAGCCGTCAGTCAGAACCACCTCCACGCCTCCTGGCAGCTGGATATGTAGCAGCACGCTGGTAGCTGCCGAACATGTTGGCGATGAGGAAGAGAGTCAATCAAAAGAGAGTCAGACGGCAGACAGCGCGATACCATCACAGCATGTCAGAAGAGGCTCAGGTGAAACAACACCGACAGTGGAAACCCCTCAGAGTACCCCACGGGTTTATATCATTAACTTGAGGCAGGCGTATCGAAGGACTCTGCTCTGGACTCCGATTATCTTCTGCCGAAGCACTCGCATTGTTATAGGAGCGACAGCGTCATAGACACCGTCTGACCAACTGACTGAAGTAGTAGTGGAAGATTAGAAGGAATAAAGAGAAGGAGGAACAGAGTAGTAAAGACCTAGGCTTATCGGTATGAGCTGTAAGTTAATAGACGTAGTCCTTTTTTCAGCATAATCATAAGAAATGCGGATAAGCAGTAAAGAATTATGTTGAAGCCGTAAAGAGTGCAGCATTACGCCTAGTGTTCTTATCGCGTTCGGTATATCAAAGCTGATGTAGTTGCAGTCACAAGAGTCG